GGAGCATACAGCAGTCAGACCACAGCATGCCGCTGGCTTTACAGGGTTTTACGGTCTTTATGTTCTGGGTTCGGGCTTTGGTACCAACACAATGAATTTCCCGATGTTCCACTAGTACTAAACTGGAGTAGAAACACTCGCTTCCCTGGCCTGTATTCACCGCTTTCAAAGGAACAGGGATTGGTAAGGAGAACCTGCTCCAGGGGTCTTGGTTCTTTTCGGTACATAACCATGAAAATGTCTCGAGCCCAGGTGCGGCTGTGGATGGGTCACAGGAGCCCATCGGACTATCAGGAGTATTTCACATGCAGCGTTGGCATCTTTCTTCCTATGTCTTATTTAAAAAGAGCCCAAAGTGCTATCAGGCAGCCTGTTAATAATGAATGTATGTGAACAGTGAAGTGAACTTTGCTGAAACCCGCGGCTAACTGATAGGGTTTCCCAATAGAAATGGGCTTCCCCGTGTGGTTCAGAAGCAGCAGGCCTGGAGACAGACAGGGACCAGGTATGGGGATGGTGACCACCTCCCTCAGCCTGAGAGGCACCTGCGTACCTGTACCTGTGTGAGAGAGCGTGCACTAGCGCCTGCACGGCACAGAGCTGCAGACACAGAAGCCAGCGGGGGACTCTGCACCGAGGTGGCTGAATTTGTTTCACTAACACCATGGCATTTTATTTTCCTGTCTCTCTTAGTCAGGAAGTTCTGTCCTCTGTTGCTCAGGGCCCTGTCAGAGGTGGGGCTGTAGGTCTCACACCTGGTGAAACCCCACGAAGCTTCCGGCTGCTATCCCACACTATTTGGCATATGCTGATCCCTTGCCTAGAATACCCTTTCTTGCTTCCCCTCGTTCTCTCAGCAAACACTTACTCATCCTAGACATGTTATTTTGGGCATCAGTACCCTTGGGAACCCACCCTGACCAGTCTCCGCACCCCTCAGCCAGTCATGCTGCGTTAAGACTGTCCGCATAGCCATCTCCTTCCCACCTACTGGGAGCTCCCTGAAGGTGGGGGAGGCTTTTATCTGCGCTGCAGCGGCCTGGCTATTGGATGAGAGCCTCAGAAGAAGATGTATTCAGTGCCGGAAAAGGCTTTTCCCCAAGGCGAGTGACCCACTGAGGTGAATGATCCAATTTCCCCACTGAGTAGAAAGGATAAGTAGCCAGGGTGGGGACTTAGCACTTCTTACTGTCCCAGGACTGTTGTCGAAGCTTTAGAAACTTGGATTTTAGTGGAAATAGAATCGCAAGGCCCCAGCATCGCATCCTCGGAAGGATGGTGGGCAAGGAGTGGAAAGTCCTTTCCTGGCCAGGGCTCAGCTCCTGGCCAAGAGGCCCCCTGGCCAGTCGTTTCTATTTGAAATAGGCCTGCCATGCACCGTGAGACGCTCAACTTTGGGTGAATGTTCTGGAACAATCAGAGTGCTTTCAAAATGACTCTGGAATGTTTATTTCCTTTTGTAGTAATGAACCCAGGCTTCAGCAACAATTAACAACCAGCTCCTAGGAGCCAGACGCTTAGGAAAGGCTGTTGTTTTCATAGGGTTTCAATGTGGAGAGCTTACGCACACTGATTCCTATCTATGCCTTCCTGGGCTATGATAAGAAATAGTTAATTATGTAGATGGGCGGTGTTGATTTTTGTAGCCTTTTGCGTTTTACAGTTCCAAACTGCAGAGTAGTGAGAGTGAATCAGGTGACCTGGCTTAGACGATAAACAGAGAGAATGCCTCTCTTTCTCCATGAATAACAGCGAGCATGTTTGTGGCTGCAGGAGGGCTCTGGGGCCCTGAGACCAAGCAACCCGCTGGGCCGGTGAGCAGGCTGGACACCTGTGCCCACAGCTCTGGGTTCCAGTTCCCTGGAGGAAGGTGGAACAGCATTCTTTTGTTTACTTGGGGTTTTTGTTCACTGACTAACTTGGTTTGAGGCTAATTCCCTTTCCAGATACACCAGACCAGGGAAAAACAGAAACAAACAAAAAACACTTCCACAGAAATTCAAGGACCTGGCCAAGAACAGAGTGTCTCCACTGCAGACTCTGGGCTCCCCGACCAAGCCCTGTTTCCTGGGCACGGCCTTACCTGCCGGGAAGTGCTCAGAGCCACAGATCTTATCACCACCTTGCTTCTTTCCTGGTTCTTTCTACTCATCACACTAGCTCTGGTAGCAGCAGTGGCCTGCAAGGCTCACTGTGGCTCCAGTTAAAATGGGAAACTCCTTGGCCTGTGCAGGAAGGGACCCGGGTGTGGGCCTCTGGGGGTGCACAGGACACCTGCCCCACTCCGCCCTGTCCCTCTGCTTCTCTCAGGGTGTTCTGTTTGCACACGGAAGCTCCTGGGTAGACAGCTCCCACTCCTAAGAGACTGACTTCTGCTCCTGGGCCGCATCTCATTTTGGTATCTCAAATTAGAGAGAAAAGTTACTGTTCTACTCCCCAGACTGGGTCCCCTCTCCTCTTTGCTACCTGGATGGTGTGTTGCAGCCCTAAGCTTTTGAGACCCCTGCTGGGGTCTCATTAACAAGAAAGGGTATTCTAGGAGAGATGCCAGCTGCCCAGTTAGGCAGGTGGGTTAGTGAGAGCCCTGGAGAGCAAAGGAGCCAGCAGGCAGGGGGGAATGACTGGGAAACACTGTTTAAAGAAAACAGCACCGGCCGGCCGGGCGCGGTGGCTCAAGCCTGTTATCCGAATACTTTGGGAGGCCAAGGCAGGCAAATCACGAGGTCAAGAGATCAAGAACATCCTGGCCAACACAGTGAAACCCCGTCTCTACTGAAAATACCAAAAAAAAAAAAAAAAAAAAATTAGCTGGGCATGGTGGCATGTGCCTGTAGTCCCAGCTACCCAGGAGGCTGAGGCAGGAGAATCGTTTGAACCCAGGAGGCAGAGGTTGCAGTGAGCCGAGATCACACCACTGCACTCCAGCCTGGCGTCTGGCAACAGAGCAAGACTCTGTCTCAAAAAAAAAAAAAAGAAAGAAAAGAAAAAGAAAACAGCACCATGTGCGGTGGTTCATACCTGTAATCCCAGCACTTTGGGAGGCTGAGGCAGGTGGATCACAAGGTCAAGAGTTCGAGACCAGCCTGGCTAATATGGTGAAACCCTGTCTCTACTAAAAATACAAAAATTAGCTGGGCATGGTGGCACATGCCTATAGTCCCAGCTATTCAGGAGGCTGAGGCAGAAGGTTGCAGTGGTTGAGGCAGAGGTTGCAGTGAGCCGGGATCACGCTGCTGCACTCCAGCCTGAGCAACAGAGCAAGACTCCGTCTCAAAAAAAAAAAAGAAAGAAAGAAAACAGCACTGTGGGATTGTCATGTGCATGACATGGTCAGCTGGGTTCTCTGGTGGTCACTCCCTTCTCAAAGGCAAGGCCTTGCTGTGGTTGGGTCATTAAAGGCCAGGTGGCAGTTATTTTTTCAGGATTCTAAATGACATCCTAGGGGCTGTGAAAGAGCTACAGCTCCCCAGGGAGCGCCTTCTCCCCGCCCCAGTGGGCAGCACGACCCTCTTCCAACTGTCAGTTACACAAGCATATTCCCCCACGCAGCCATCTTTGCACCATGCCATTTATTCATTGTATCATAGATCTAATCAGCCTTTACACCCTAACCTAAGACCCACATGAGGTTCGTGCCCTTCACCCTTCTCTCTTCATCAGCCTACTAGGGGCTTATGAGTTGCAGGGACTCCAAGTAAACCTTCACATTTACATTCTGCCCTACGTCTGTGTTCCTCTGTCCTCCATTCTCAGGTTATATCCGTCCACACTAGAGAGGCAGGGTGACATGTGGACGTCAGCACGGATGTGTGTGGCATTGGGCAGTGAGCACCACTGCTCTGGCCCCAGCCTCTTCTCTGTGAGAAGGCACGATAGTATTCAATAAATTTCAACTATGTTTTTAAGTCACTTAAGGAAGATGCCAGGGGCTCTGGCTAGGGAGTTGGGCCTTACAGTAGTTATTTAAGGAGCTGCACAGCAGTTCATGGGTCCTGTGAGTGTGCATTTGGTCTAATTATTAATAGTGCCTCTGTTCACTCTCAACAGTGCCCGAGTTAGGACGATAAAATACCTCATCACCATTATGCATGAGGAGCCTTGGAACATGGTCAGAACTGTTTTACTCATACAAATTTGCAGAGGCCTTTAAAGCAAGCCCCTTCCCCTTTCTTATTGAATGCTGGCCTCTGCTAGATGCTGCAGATAACAAAAGATAAAAGATGTCGTGCTGTTCCGTGTGGACAGGAGCTGGCTATTTAAAGTGCAGTGGAGGACCCAAATAAGTACCTCTTCATGGGCAGGGAAGAGATCAAAGGTGACAGCCACTGCTCTGGATGACGAATATAGAATTATCCTCAGGTCCACCATATAGCATGCCTGCAGAGATAAGCCATGGTGACCAGTCACATCAAGACGTGCAGTCTTAGGCCTAGAGAACTGACTTGCCAGGTCTGTAATATTAACTTAATGGTGGGTTCCCTGCTGCTGGTAGAGCGGTGTTTTGGTGGCTGGAGAGCACTGCCTTCCAGTGAAGCTTTGAAAGAGCCGTCCCATGCCCTGCCAACTGTCCAAGACAACTGACAGCAGATCTGACATCTCCATGTAAACACAGTTCCAAACCTCACTTTAAAACGCTTATCATAGACGGGGCCAAAAGCAGTCGCCACAGTGGCCCAGGAGAGCAGGAGCAGTATGTCCTGTCGGACATGGGCAGAGCCAGGGGCTGCGCCGAACCGCCTACGCGGGCAGCCGACTCAGCTGCCATCCCCAGGTTAATGACCGAACGCCCGCCCCCAAGGCTCAGCTTGGAGGGCGGCCTGGGGACAACGGTCCCCTCCCTGCAAGGGCTCGGCGCCCAGCAGTGGGCAGCGACCAGAGGACCCGAGTTCCAGCAAGCGCGCACCCGCCGTGGGAGCCAAAGCAGTTCGGGCCGGCTCCCTCCCCAGGCAGAGACGGGATTTACCCCACCAACCCGATCCAGGATCCGCGGCCCCACTCACCGGCTCGCTGGGCGGAGGCCCGCGCGCAGTCGCCCCGGACGGGCAGCTCGAGCTGGAGGAGGCTGCAAGGGCTCACGGTGCGCACGCCGCCCGGGCCCTGTGTACACACGTGACCGCTGGCCCCGCCCACCCAACCTGGCTCCGCCCCCAGCCGCCCCTCCGGCCTTGGTCCCGCCCCCGGTTCCGCCCCCCACCCGCAAGGCCCGGCAGCGGGGAAGCCTCGGACCAGTGCGGTTGGGGGGCGGTGGCGGCGGAGGCGGTGCTGGTTGGGTAACCTGAGACCAGCCATTTGACAAGCTCGTGCGCCCGAGCTTCCCTGTGGGAGGACGCACACCCAGCGCTCTTGAGTTTTTGAGAATTCCGGTAATGCCCGATCCGGTTTCTTTTTACAGGCGATGGTGCCTAGTTTGCTGAGTCAGAACAGACCCTAATCTGCAGGGTGCAGGCCCCGCCGCCCTCTGCGGCTGCCATCGAGGCCTCACGGGTACACCTGCCCCTGTCTTCCCCGAAGTCTGCTTTCAGCTTCCAAATTCAGTTACTTCCTGGTTTTAGGAATTTCTTTGTAAACCACTGACAGGAAAGCCATTTAAAGAAATACATTGTTTGCTGCCTGATTACTTTGGTAGCTATTGTTACAAGTTAAACGCTGGAAAAGTTGAAACAAGGACATTGACTCTGCTGTAAATTTTGAGGTGAAACGCCACACACACACACACACACACACACACACACACACACGGCTGCGCGCGCGCGCGCACATGTTCTGGTTCAGGATCTAAGAACGCTTCTGAAAATCGAAGCATGTGGGTTGCACGCCTCAGCATAGACTTGGGTGACGCTGTGGGCTGAGTGGGACACCAGCAGAACTGCAGCCACTGCTGACCCTCCCTGAAAAGTGCTGTGGCCCACCGTGTTCACGGCTGCACTTCAGCCACCTGCCTGGACAGGATGGCTTCTTGACTGTAGGTGGGAGCGGGATGTTGGAGGCAGCTTTCTATTCTGGTGGGAGGGTAGGGAGAGCCTCACTCTATCTTGGTCATGAATTGACAGACCCCTTTGGGCCCACCACGGCCCCCACCTGCTGACGTGACACTGACTTGCTGTCCAGCGTGGCACCAGGTCTCTGTGCTCTGAGGTACCAGGTCGTGATCTTACCTGCCGGAGTCAGTCACGATCAGCCAACACCGACACCCGGGCATATTCTGTGTCAAGTTCTGTTCTAAGCCTCAACCGTCGTTTTGAGGTACATATGTCCGTATTTCATCGAACTTAAGACATGATTAGTGCTAGATAGCCCATTACTTGATAGATTCCTAAAAAGAAGGCCATCTGCTGGTTACATTCTGACACAGTGCTGATTTTAAGGCGCAGCCTGTTAGAGGTGATAAAATGAGAGTGTGCTCCTGCATCAATGAGATAGGTCGCCATGTGCATTTCACATTATTTTGTGAAAAGGTAAGCAGCCGGGCGCGGTGGCTCAAGCCTGTAATCCCAGCACTTTGGGAGGCCGAGGCGGGTGGATCACGAGGTCAAGAGATCGAGACCATCCTGGTCAACATGGTGAAACCCCGTCTCTACTAAAAATACAAAAAATTAGCCGGGCATGGTGGCACGTGCCTGTAATCCCAGCTACTCAGGAGGCTGAGGCAGCAGAATTGCCTGAACCCAGGAGGCGGAGGTTGCGGTGAGCCGAGATCGCGCCATTGCACTCCAGCCTGGGTAACAAGAGCGAAACTCCGTCTCAAAAAAAAAAAAAAAAAAAAAACAAAAGGTAAGCAACTTGCGCCAGGTCACACCACAGGCCTTGGAGCTGGGATTTGTACCCAGGGGTACTCCAGCTTTTTAGATCAGAGTTTGGGACTTTGGGCCCTCCTAGCAACTTGACTAAAAGCAAGCTTTGTTATCTCCATGGTATAAATGGCCCAAGACCTCAGAATCCCTGGTCAGTCTGCGGAGCCTGTCAGATCCCTTCCAGGTTCCATGGTTGCTCTGTGGCCGGGGACTGCTGGAGGTTAGTTAGCTTCCTCTAAGCTACTGAACTCTCAGGTCACCGCAGACTGCCTTATCTGCAGGGACTTCCCGACCAAGCAGGCCAGGCTCGTCAGGGAGAATCGGGGAAAGCTTATGTGTGCCCTGGGGAGATCATCAGAGAGAGCCACCCTCCACCTGAACCACAATAAGTTCTCATAGCTGGGGGTGTAAATGCCTTCCAGAGGCTGCAGCTGTGTACCCAAGGGTCCCAGCCAGCCCCTGTACAAGGCTCGGTTGATGGGGGGAGGGATGGGAGGCAGATAGGGGTGTAGGAGGTGTGTGGCCCTGACTCAGCATCCCAGGTGTATCCTAGTCTAGTGTTGATGTTTGAAGTCACGTGGATGTGGCATCCCCTGCATGACTGGTGAGGGCATTTGAGGGCAGTTGTGTGGTCCTGGCCTGGGGCTGTGCTTTTGTGGCTGTGTGTGCCGTGTGTATGTGTTTTGGGGGAGATGGGGGGGTGCCCTAGTTGTGCACCACACTCTGCAGCCCACCGTGTTGCCGAGGTTCCTGTGATGCAGCTTCGTGTCTTACAGAGACGTTGGGACCACCCTTCCCCTGCCACATTCAGGCGGGTGGGCAGCTTTCTTGGTTATTCTGAGTGGCGGTCAGGAAGCAGCTGCACCCCACCCAGGGATCCAGGGCTGCTGGTCAGGAGCTGTAGAGACCTCACCTGGCCTGGGTCTGTTTGCATTTGTGCTTTCCCAGTGTGGACGGGGGTGGTGGGAAAGGCAAACTGGCATTCCCCTTGGAGATGGACCTTCTCTAGTGATTGATTGCAGAGTGAGTCTGATCCTGTGTGCCACGCTGATCAAGAACAAGGAATTATTATTATTATTATTATTATTATTATTATTATTATTGAGATGGAATCTAGCTCTGTCGCCCACATTGGAGTGCAGTGGCGGGATCTTGGCTCATTGCAACCCTGGCCTCCCAGGTTCAAGCGATTCTACTGTCTCAGGCTCCCAAATAGCTGGGACTACAAGCGCCTGACACCATGCAGGCTAATTTTTGTATTTTTAGTAGAGACAAGGTATCACCGTATTGGCCAGGCTGGCCTCGAACTCCTGACCTTGTGATCCGCCCGCCTTGGCCTCCCAAAATGCTGGGATTACAGGTGTGAGCCACTGTACCCAGCCGACAAAGAATATTTTGCAATTAATTTCCTAGTTCTTGTGAGTGTGGCTTGTGACCTTGTTTGTGGCCTGTTGATTATAAGGCATACCTTGACATTAGAGATGATAAAATGAGAGAGTGAGCCTTAGTGTAAGTGAGTCTACACTGTGAATGTATTCATAAAACTTGGTATTGTTTGGAGCCCCAGTAACGTCAGTAAGGAATTGTGGATGGCCTGAACAGAACCCAGGGCTTCTTCCCTGGAGTGTGGCCACCACCTTGCTGTGGGGGGGGGCCTCCCTCCCTCCGCTGAAGTCTCTCCAGTCCTTCCCAAATTCCATCCACACTGCTTATCGCCTGGACTTTTTCCATATTCTGCATAAGTAGCTGTTCCCACAAGGAAAGTGGCAGATGCCCAGGATGGGTCATCAGTGTATGGCCCAGCGTTCCGACCTCAGGTTGACCCCAAGTGGCACTGTCAGCTGGAGACGTGGCAAGCAGCAGCCACTCACGCGTAGAGCGCGGCTGCAGCCGGCACGTCCGCCTTGCTCATGCTCTCAGCCCGCTCCGAGCTGCGCCTTCTTGATGTTTACGTGTTCCAGACGAAAGACTTTTGTGCGTGTGTGGTTTGTAAATATTTTGTCTTCCTCCGTAGCTTATCTCTTACATCCTCTTAATGAGGGTTGTGCAGAGAAAAGGTTTTTTTTTCTTTTTAATTTTGGTGAAGTCTGATTTATCGATTTTTTTATTTTCCTTTTTCATTTTAAGGATCTGCTTTTGGTTTCATGGCTAAGAATTCCTCAATGACTCCCGGGTCCCAAAGATTTTCTCCTACGTTTTCTTATTAAAGCTTTATAGTTTTACATTTGATGTTTAAATGGATGATCCATTTGAGTTCATTGTGAGGTTTAGCTTGTTTTGTTTTGCAGGATGGAGTGCATTGGTACAATCATAGCTCTCTGTAGCCTTAAACTCTGAGGCGCAAGCAATCCTCACTCCTCAGCCTCCTGGGTAGCTGGGGTACAGGTGCGTGCCACTATGCTTGTCTAATATTTAAAGTTTTTTTCTCACTGTGTTGCCCAGGCTGGTCTCAAATTTCTGGCCTCAAGCAATCCTCCCACTTCAGCCTCCCAACATCTGGGAATATAAGTGTGTGCCACCATACCCAGTGGTTTTTTTTTTTTTTTTTTTTTTTTTGGTTTTTTGTTTGTTTGTTTGTTTGTGGTTTTTTTTAGAGCACTATTAGATTCACAGCAAAATTGAGCAGATGATGGAGTTTGCATGCACACACCCCGACACACATGCACGGCCTCCCCTATTATCAACACCCTCCACCCCGAGTGTTGCATTTGTTACAATGGTGACCTTCAAGGCCGCATCATGATCACCCAAAGTCTGCAGTTTACAAGAGGGTCCCCTTGGTGCAGCATGCCCTGTGGGTTTTGATAAATGAACATCTCCTGTGCACCCACCGTTACAGCACCACACACAGCAGCTTTGCTGCCCCAAGAGGGCCCTGTTCATTGGTCCCTCCTGACCACCACTGACCCCTTTCCTGTCCCCATGTGGCTACGTGTTGCAGAATGTCAGGCGGCCGGATCCCACAGCGCAGCCTGTTCGACTGGCATCTTTCACACAGCAGTTTACTGTTACTTTCCCGTGTCTTTTCACGGCATGCCAGAACCTTTCTTTTTACGGCATGCCAGAACCTTTCTTTTTAGTGTTGGGTAATATCCCAGTGTCTGGACAGACTACGGTTAGCCACTCACCTACTGAACAGCATCCTGGTCGCTTCCAGTCTGTGGCAGTTATGAATAAAGCTGCTCGAAATATCTGTGTGCAGGTTTTTGCATGAACCTAAGTTTTCAGCTCATGCGTAAATGCCAAAGGGCACATTTGCTGAGTCCTGTGGCAGGATTTTGCCTACTTTTGTAAGAAGCCACCAACTGACTTCCAAAGTGGCTTAAAT